GTCACATCCTGGGCACAGGATCAACCCCAGTGGAGCTGTTAGCTAGTTGATAAAGGAGCCGCCTCATCTCACCACCCTAAAGCCCCAGGTGCAATTCTGTTAGTGAATTTCTCTCTCACTTTTTCCCTCTTGCACACTTTTGACCCTCATTGCCAGTAGTAGTTGGTGGGTTTCGGGGCTGTGCATTTTCCTGGTGTGTCGTCCAGATGGTTGGTCCAGATTCACCATCATCCTAGATCCCATCTCTTCCTCTCTTTTGGGTCCAGTGCCCCCTCTTCGCTGAGTAGCAGACGATCACTTCCTCACTTGGTTAATGGAATCTGGATGCCGATGTTCTCTGGCGGAAACGGTCGTGCTCTGGCCGTTAACATCTGTTTCCTCCTTGTTTGTTGTTGGTGCTGCTGCTGTCTCCCAGGCCTTGTTGAGGTGGATTGAAGAGGAACCTGCTGACGTCCTTGGAAGAACGCCAAAACCTGCCTGTGAGGAGGCTGGGAATTGGCCAGATGGGATGGCAGCCTTCAAGGAATGGAAAGAGTGGATAGTCAGATGCCTTGCTGTTCTCCAGAAAGAAGGACCTTCAGATAGGAGTAATTAAAATAAAACACTTGCATATTATGCTTTCATTTTGGCGGTGCAGCTCACTGGAGTCAGCTATAGGTGGTCCCCGGGAGTGTCCTGGTTCCCGGGAGTGCCCTGGCCAAGTGACAGAGTAGAGCCTGTGTTAGAGCCCCGACCCTGAGCCACACGATGTGTGCTCTATTCTTTGGTTGTAGCTGGGCCTGTGGCCGCCCCACTTCCTTTCCCTCCCTTACCTGGGTTTATGTCTCACAGAGACTCCAACAAGCCATCACAAGTGAGGAAATAAACACTTTACAAATTGCTGTCTCTGTCCTTGGGCAAGATCGTTAGCCACCACGCATCTGAGGAGGTTGGGGCTCAGTTTTCAGAAGTGACACTCAGCTCTGTGAGGCCTGGCCTGGTCACGTGGTGAGCTGCGGGTGGGGTGAGGGGGCGTCTCTGACCATTCCACTCCCATCCTTCGTGAGAGCCTCTCCTGCTCTCATCATCTGCTGTCAGCTATCCCCAAAGAAGCCATAGCTAGTGGTAGGATTTACCAGTTTAAACATACGCCCATCTCTCCCGAGTGACGGTGACAGTGGCACCCACTCCCACCACAGCTGCCAAGTTGGGTGGGGGTTGCATCTGACTTCTCAGCAGTTAACAGAAATGCACAGTCATTGGGAGGGGGGGTCTGTCAATAGTTTGGTCAATGGGACTTAGGTTTGTGACGCTCTTACTCTTTCTATAGATTTAGAGCAGGTTGGGCTTATCCCTATTCCACCAATCTCTGTCTTGCTGCTCTGCATCAGAAAGTTTCTTTGAATGGGGCAGGCGTGGTGGGGTGGTGGGATGCCAACAATACTGTGGGGAGCATGAGGCGGTGAACATGCTCCCCACTGCTTCCGGGGAAGCCAACTGTTCCACCAACTGTGACCCGGGGAGGTGCTGCTGGTGGGTGCTGACGAGCCGGTTCCAACTCACAGTGACCCCGTGTACCACAGAGGGAGAAGCTGCCGATCCCTGCACCACGTTCACAGCTGCTGCCATGTTTGGGCCCATTGTGGCAGCAAGTGTGTCAGTCCGCCTGGTGGAAGGTCGGCTTCTATTTTGATAACCTTTCACCACACATGAATTCCTCTAGAGACTGGTCCCTTCTGATAACATGGCCAAAGCATACCCGTTGAGGTCTTGTCATCCTTGACTCCCAAGGAACATTCTGAGTGTCCTTCCAAACAGGCTGGCTGGTCTTGTGGCAGTCCATGGGGGGGTCACTATTCCTCACCAACGCATCATTCAAGTGCATCCATTCTTCAGTCTGCCATATTCACTGTCCAGCTTGGGCCGCCCATGAAGTACTTGAAAATGGCAGGTGACTCAATGTTAGCAGATCACATTCCCCGTGGGCCCATCTCACCATGACAATTGTGTTCTTGGTGTTCAAGAAGGGTCATTTTCTCCCCGAGGGGCCAGGGACTGAAATAGAAAGCACGTTTTTCATGGCTATCATTTCTCCGTGTGGTTGGAGGCATAGTTTATAACAGCCCATCATTTTTCTCTCAGTCACTTTGCTGCCTCATGGCTCTATAGGTCCTTTTAGGAAATGGCGACTTGCCATTCACATTGGACAGAGGAGACCAGGTCGCTCTGAAAGTTGGAGCTTGGACTTTGATAGGTTTTGCTAGGGCTTTAATTCATCCTTGCATAAGATACTTCTAATGAATGTCAGGCGTATTTGTGTTTCTCTGATTCTCCTGCAAGATCAGTATAGCTTCAGTCCTTTCGTTCCATGTTCATTACCCAGCTAAGAGAACTTAGATTTTGCTTGGGTTTCAAAGTCGGGGGCTAGGAATTTGGGGAAGATGGGCTATTTGTGCCCTGCTGTGTCCTGTGAGACAAGGAAAGCAGACGTACACGCAAACAAGCACACACCCGAACAGCTCCCTCGGTGCTCTTGAAATGTGGACCTCAACAACTCCAGGGCAGTGATGGTTGAGTGGTGGAATTCTCAGTGCTGGAGACACAGGTGTGTGTGGTTCCCGCCAACCAATCCATCTCATAATGCAGCCACCTCCCATCTGCCACAGGTGTCTTGTATGTTGTTGCGATGCCAAGCAGGGTTCAGCGGAGCTGCCAGACCAGAGAAAGGCCTGGCGATGTACTTGCAGAAATCAACCTGTGTAAACCTGAGCACAGTGCGATGGTCCTCGAGTGACCCTGGGGATGGGACGAGAGTTGGGGGCTGATGGAAAGGCAGCTAACAACAAGTAGGAACCGGGTTTTATGTGATGGACATTTGTCCCCAGGCGTGCTGTGAAAAACCATTGCATTTACTTTTGGAGAGTTTCAGGATTGGAGGCCAGTGTACGTTGTCTCTGCAGTCAAGTTTTATGCACTCTAGTTAAATCTTTCCATTGAGTTGTGTTGTTAGTAAGCCTTCCTCCAAACCTGGTGCTGCGTCCTTTATATAATCCAGCTTGTCTGATGATTTGCTCAGCATACAGATTGAATAAGTATGGTGAGCGATACAACCCTGACACACGCCTCTCCTGATGTTAAACCATGCAGTATTCTTCCCTTGTTCGGTTGGCACAGCTGCCTCGTGATCCATGTACATGTTCCATGGGAGCACAATGACCTGTTCTGGAAGTCTAGTTCTTCTCAAGGCTAGCCATAGTCCACAGAGTTGAATGCAGTTGATACGCAGATGACACAACCTTGCTCGCTGAAGGTGAGGAGGACCTGACTCACTTGCTGATGAACTTCAAGGATGGCAGGCACCAGTATGAATTGCAACTCAAGGTAAAGGAAACAAAAATCCTCACACCTGGACCAATAGGTAACATCATGATAACTGGAGAAACAGTGGAAGTTGTCAAGGATTTCATCTTGCTGGAATTCACAATCAGTGCTCATGGACGCGGTCATCAGAATCAAAGGATGGCTTGCATTGAGTACAGTGCACAGACCTCTTTAAAGTGGTTGAGGGGGAAAAAAAGGAAAATTAGCGGGTTCCGGGAACCCAAGAGGCAAGCGAATTTTGGGAATGATGAGGGCAACAAATGTATAGATGTGCCTTACACAATTGATCTATGTATTGTGATGAATTGTATGAGCCCCAATAAATTGATTAAAAAATAATATAAAAAATAAAGTGGTTGAGAAGCAAGGCTGTTCCTCTGGGGACTAAGATGCACCTGACCCCTCATATGCATGTGAAGGTGGAACGTTGCATCCGGAAGACTGAAGAATGGAAGCATTTGAACTGCGGTGCTGGGGGCGAGTACTGACTACTGTGGGCTGCCTAAAGAGCCAACAAGTCTGTCTCGGAAGAAGTACAGCCAGAATGGTGAGACTTTGTCTCACGTACTTTGGACATGTTGTCAGGAGAGACCAGTCCCCGGAGAAGGACATCGCGCTTGGTAAAGCAGAGGGGCAGCAAAAAAGAGGAAGGCCCTCAAGAAGGTGGACAGACACAGTGACTGCAGCCATGGACTTAGAACAAGAACTGGTGAAGATGGCACAGGACTGGACCGGGCAGTGTTTTCTGTTGTACACAGGCACCTAACAACTGTTCAAGCTTGCCTTGTTGAGAAAAGGAATACTTTTCCACTTGGTAGCAGTAACAAAGACTAACCACACCCACTGCCAATGAGTCGAGTGCGACTTACAGCGACCCTATAAGATGCAACCAAAAACGAAAGCAGATTTTACCCCACACATGTTGAACCGTGTCCCCAGTAACAGAATGCACGTTAAACACTGTGATGGCACCTGGTATATTAGTACCTCTCATCGTTCTCTTGTGGCTTGGTCTCGGAATTGAAAAGGTAGCCCCAGCCAAGGGGAACACCAAGCGTCAGCATTTCACAAAGGCTTCCTTCCGGTGGTGGTGAAGGGAGTTTGCCAAGTTTACCCATGGTCGTAGAGGCTAGGGTGATGTGCCCGGTGAAGCGCTCACTATCAGCCAAGAGGTTGGTGGTGGAATCCACCAGAGGTGGGAAGACAGGGCTGGCGATCGATCTCCTTCCGTCCGACAGGTTAGAGTTTTGGAGACCTTAGGGGACACAGTTCTCGGCACACCTGGTGTTACCAAGGGGCGGGATCAACTCCATGGCAACGAACAACAACATCCCCTGGCTCTCCGGCCCACAGCGGGCAGCTGGAGCGCCCACAGGAAGCGGCGTCCTCCGCCTAGCCGGCCCTGGGCGCCCCGCTCGTGTCGCAGCTTCCGGCCACCGGGCTGGCTTCCCCCGCGGGCGCGCAGCGTGGGCTCCGCCGGGGCCGCGCGGCCGCCTCCCGTGCGCAGAGCCCTCCGGACGTCAGGCAGCAGCCACGCCGAGCAGTGAGTGACGCGGGCCCGGGCGGAGGGGAGCGCGCGACCGGGCCCGCGCAGGGCATTTTGATAATGGCAGTGAGCTTGGCTCGGAGGTTTGGGTAGCCAGTGGCGGAGTGGTTGCGCGTTGGGCAGTTCCCTAACTTCAAGGTCAGCTGTCCGAAACCACTATTCGCCCTTAAAGAGGTGTAGTCCCAGAAACTCACAAGGGCAGCTCCGCCCTCCCTTCTAGGGTCGCGGGGAGCCGGAATCTACTCAATGGCAGTGAGTAGCCACAGGAAAAGCCCCAAACTGTGCGCTATGGAGGCAGTCCCACCCCTGGCGACTCTGCTGGGGCGGGAGTTAAAGTGAAAACAACACAAGAAGTAGATGAGACTGATATTAATAAATCAAATGCAGCCGCGGCATCATTTTAACATGTACTTTAAAACGACCGAAGTGATGATCTATTTTTGACCAAATTGTCAAATCCCCATGTGTAGATCTTGCAGTTACAGCTCGCTTCCATTCGGACTGGCCTCGGGCAGCGTGCAGCTAGATGAGGCCCCACCGGTTGCTGGTCCTTGTTTATGGGGGTCAGAAAAAGCCAGGAAAAAGCTGGGGACAGAGTGAAAGTCCAGGCCACAGTGAGTACAAAGCTGAAAGGCGCTGGAGACCAAGGACCCCTGGATGCCTTGCGGGTTGCACGTTGAACCTTGCTACTTAGTAACCTGGTGGCATGGTGGTTACTTAGTAACCTGGTGGCATAGTGGTTACTTAGTAACCTGATGGCATAGTGGTTACCCTTTGGGCTGCTAACTGCAAGGCCAGCAGTTCAAAAGCACCCGCTGCTCTTGGGAGAAAGACGACAGGGCTTGGAGTCTTGGACCAGGGCAGTGAGTGCTTACCATTAGCGGATGGCTTTCATTGTCAAAGCCAACACCAACTCACGCCATCATTGAGTGGCTTCTGGCGCCCTGAGGGCAGAGTAGAAGAGCGGTACTGAGG